CACTTGAAAGGAAGCGAGGAAGAGCCAGGAGGTACAGAAGGCAATGTCGATGTGGGTCAAAGGTTACCCAGCAAGTAAGCCACTTGGGACGCCAGAAGGTGACACTGTCCGGGCTGAGAACGTGGCCAGCGCCGGCCCCGGTCACGGAGGAGACAGGTGACCTTTCCCTCCCCACCCACAGCACTCCTGACTTTAAACACAGACAAGCCCGGCTTCACAAAGAAAAAGGTTCTCCTACAGAAAGTTACCCGGGTCCCGGGGAGAACACGTCGAAACCACAGGAGAGCACAGCGAAGAGCAACACATCACACGTCACCCCACTACCCACCCACGGCAACTGGACAGGCTATTTCATCTCATGACGTTTGGAAAAAGTCACACACGCACACGCATGTTTACAGACACATTAACCGTCATACATGGCAACCTGAACCCGTTCATGCCGCCGCCGACCACCCCGGGCCTCTGAGGAGAGGATGGGAGCAGAAACACCCTCCTTGGCAAGTGCTGGCCGAGTCCGAGGAATGAAGAGCCCGGCCGGCCCGGCTCCGTGGCTGAGCGCGACCCAGGAACCAGAAGGTCACGGTTCGATTCCCGGTCAGGGCACATGCCCGGTTTGCGGGCTCGATCCCCAGCAGGAGGCGTGCAGGAGGCAGCCGATCAGTGATTCTCTCTCATCATTGATGTTTCTCTCTCTCTCTCTCCCTCTCCCTTCCTCTCTAAAAATCAAGAACAACATATTTTAAAAAAAGAAATACAGAAACACAGAGGCAACACCTCCTGATCTGGGTTGGGGGCACCGTCTGTTATGAAAAGTAAAAGGCGGATCTGCTACATCAGTGTGGCCGGCCCTTCCCGCTGGCCTCCTGTGGGCCGACCTGGCCCCCTGCAGGGGGCGGGGGGGCTCCTTCCCAGATCTCGCCAACACTGCGCACAGAGGCACGACCTCGTTAGAGCAGGCACAGCAATCACAATCGAAAGGACGGATTTGTGTCCTGGCCAGTATTCTCAGTGGTTAGAGCATCTGCCCCCACCCGCCCCCAGACCGAAGGGTTGAGGGTTCAATTCCTGGTCAAGGGTACGTACCTGGTTGCAGGTTCAATCCCTGGCCCCCATCAGGGCATGTGCAGGAGGCAACCTATTGATGCGTCTCTCTCATGTCAATTTCTGTTCCCCTCTCTCTTCCTTTAAAAACCATGGGAAAAATACCCTCGGGTGAGGGCTACAACCAACAGGAGGGGCCTGGGGTGAGGGGCCCGGACCCTCTGGTTCGCACGGGGCGCCCGCGGGCTCACCAGCAGGCTGTAGAAGAACTCATGCACGAAGAGCCCGAGAGCGCAGATGAGCAGGTAGAGCAGGTGGTAGAGGAACTCCACGTCCAGCACCATGGCGCGGTAGCCCCGCGTGAACGTGCCGCAGTTGCCCACGAAGCTCATCAGGAAGATGATTTTGTTGCAGACCTGGGGCATGAGAGGGGCAGGCACTTAAGCACGACTGTGCCCCCTTCCCCCTGTCCCCCCCTTTTGCACCCAGTGCCCACCAAACCCACGGGAACCGCCCTGTGGGTCGAAGTCATTTCGTGACTTTGCTTTTCAGGCACATCCCAAGCGACGTGGTCGTCAAATGACTGCGGGGCCACGGTGACCAAGTGGCACTGGAATGCCACAAAACCCGACATGAGCACAGACCGAAATGACGACGCTCAAAATGAATCATCTCCGACACCCTTACGGGACAGACAGCCCTGCGACCGGCAGATGGAAAGCGTTTTCTGAAACTCGCGTCAGAGGCAGGAAGAGTGAAGTTTAATAAGAACGAGGCAGTTCCTGCTTCCCCCTCGCTCCCAATTTCACGGGGAAGGTGGACCTTTTCTTGGGGAAAGAAAAGGAAGGGACTTTGGGGTGCATTCTATCCCCTGCCTCCTCTTCTGGGAATAATTCTTCCTTTTCCTCTGGGGGTGCAGCCCTGACCCGGTGTCGGCCCTGGAGGTCCGGGGGTTGGGGGCTCCATCGGCCAATCAGAGGACTGCACCCAGGCAGCAGCGGCTGGTCCAGCGACAGGCAAGGACCGGATGGGGCCAGGGACACCTATCGAGGTCTTTTCTGGGACGGTGGCAAAGACAACCCTGTGCCTTGCCCTGGCCTTGACCCTGAGAGAAGTCTGTCCTGCCGCCCCTGGAGCCTCCGGGAACCTCCAGGCCATCATGGGAAGGCCAAGGAATTCTGCAGAAAAGCCCTCCCAGCGTTTCCCATGCGGACTTGACCCCTGACCCTTTCCCACCTGAGAGGGTTCACCCGGAGCAGCCTCTGAAAATGCTGACGCAGGATGAGGCCCGAGGGCCTGATCCTGGCATTCAGAGCCATGTCACCCGTGCGGGGCCAGGTCCTGCACGTCACACGCCTCTCCACGCGCCCAGACACACCTTCCTTGCCACCTCGCCTGAGCCGTCAGCTTGACGCGGCTCCCTCCCCGCCGGCCCTGCTGCCCCGCCCCGCACCCTCGGGGACAGCTGCTGGTGCCGGAATTACTCCAGCGCCTTGCTTTGCCGTCTCACGCCCGTCTTGGCCAGTGACCTCAGCTTCCTTACACCCTCGGGCGGAAACCTCTGGAAGGCGGTGCCTCCCATGCCAACTCTCCTCCTTTTGCCTGGACCCCTCCAGCCCATCTTCCACCTCACACCAGCCGCCTCCGCCTCCTCAGGTTCTCCCATCATGCCGCTGGCTTCCACACTTCAGGTGCATGGAGACAGCAATCCCAAACGTCACCACGGACTTGGAAATCTCGATGCTCTCGCGACCTCGCTCCCCGCGCCCTGTGTGTGGCCACCCTCCCGCCTCTCCTGCTCCGCGTGGCCTCACAGTGGGATGCTGTGTTCATATCTGATCGCTGGGCTGACTGGCTGCAATCTCCAGTCCCAGCAAACCTGCGACCAGATCGGCAAGACTAGCTTACACTTCAGCAGCACCGCCCTTCGTGCCGGACTCCTGGGAGGGCCAGTTCCGGAGCGTGCCATCGCCGGGCCGCCACCCGGACCGAGAGGCCCACCCGGGACCGCCGGCGCCCGCGGTTTTACCAGCCGACCCGACGCTGCCTTCCTGCACCGCAAGCACAGGGACTGCCGCCCAAACCCGAGGTCCCGGGACCAGAGGGGTGGCGTGCTGAGGCACACGTCCACAGAGCAGGGGCGGCGAGGGCCCGGACTCACGTTGAAAGCGCCCAGGAGGAACAGCGTGGGCTGCAGCCCCACGGAGAAGATGAGCCGCAGAATCGTGGACGCGATCAGCGCCCGGATGCCGTGGGGTTTGGGGAGCGCGATGACGATGGCCAGCGAGACGAGCATGGCCGTCCACAGCAGCCCCGACCAGTGCGGCTCCAGCGTCCCTGCAAGACAGGCGGGTCACGGAGCAGAGCTCGCGGCGAGCGCAGGGACAGGCAGCGTGGGCTCAACTGTACCTTCTCCCGCCACCTCTCCGGCCTATGGTCCCAGCGCTGGTCTCCAATGCCCGGCCCCGGACAGAACCCTCCCACCCATGTCTTCCCTCCACACCTTCACTTGTGTTCTTCCCCTGGGAGACCTGCCCCCGTCCCGGTCCCCTTAGGTCTTAGCTCGGATGTCACCCCTTGGGAAGCAGCCCTACCGTCTCCCCAGGAGCCCCGTGCTGCTCTCTCAGCTTCTGTCCCCTGGGCACCCACACGGAACAGCTTTTCTAGTGCTCGCGTGGCACCCTACAGGCGCCCTCACGTCCTTGTTCAAGAAATAAGACAGCCCTGGCTGGTGTGGCTCAGTGGACAGAGCGTCAACCTGTGGACCGAAGGGTCCCGGGTTCGATTCTGATCAAAGGCATATACCTCAGTTGCAGGCTTGATCCCCGGCCTTGGTTGGGGTGCATATGGGAGGCAACCAGTCAATATGTCTCCCTCACATCGATGTTTCTCTCTCTCTGTCTCTCCCCTCTGTTCCTCTCTCTCTAAAAAAAAAAAAATCAATGGAAAAGCATCCTCGGGTGAGGATTAACAACAAAAAAGAAGTAAAAGTCAGTCAGATTGCGTCACACTTCACAAGGGAAGGCGACGGGAACCCTAAATGTCCAATTTCTATGGAAGGCGCTCGGGGGGGAGCGCAGGTCCCTCCCTGCATCAGGGTCTTGGGGGGGGGGTACCGTCCACATCGCCAGCACCTGCTACAACCCGACCACCCCTGCGCGGACCGGCTGTCTCCCTGCTGTTGTGCTATTTAGATCCCACGGACGGCTTGGTTACATAATGTGAGCGACGCGGCTAAAAATACAGCCCCGCACGCTCACGAGGAGCCGTTTCAAACGCCGCCACACCCTGCGTCCCCTTCGGCTGCAGCGAGAGGCCCGGGACGAAGGCTGCCGGCCTCCATCCACTCCGGGAGCAGGTGTGGGGGCCTGCCCTCCTGGCTCTGCCCTCACGAGCTGTGTGGCTCGGGCTCAGCGTCTCGCCTTCTCTGACAGTTTCCCCGCAGACACGGGAGGCGGCTAAGCTTTCTCACGGGTGTGCCGCGTGCCCGCCCTTCCTGTCCATGAGCACGGGCAGGGACTGCCACCCAAACCCGTGAGAAAGGGGCTGCCTCGTCCTGTCTGAGGGGGGCCCTGCAACCCCACGTGCTGCCTGGGTACGCCCAGG